GATAATAAATTATATAATAATGATATAATAATATACTGTACAATAGTATAATCTCCATAATATTATTACCTTTTTAATAAATTAATTAATAATTATAAAATATTATATAATAGCAACCTATACTTAATAATAACAGAATAATATAATAATACTATTATAATAACATATTGTACAGTAAATAGAATATAATAAATAAAATATTAATATATTATGTAATAAATAATATAATTTGTTATAAAGTAAAATAAATTTTAATAATAATAATTTATTACTAACAAATGTTAATGTAAAAAAATAATATATACATAATATATCTATTTACATCATAAATACTAATATATTATTAAAGTACTATTAATAAACTCTTAACATTTTAAAAACTATAATATATTATATAACATTATAATATTATAAAATATTTATAATATATTAATTTATTAATAACATACTACTAATAACATAATATTAACATTATTAAAAATATTATATTATATGAATAATGGTATAATATTATATTATAATAATAATAATAATATATTATATTATATTAATAATAAAATAAGGTTATTTTAAAAATATAATATAATATATTGTAATAATTATAATATAATACTAATTATATATAATATAACTCACTAAAGTACAATATAATATTATAATACATTATACAATATTATATTACATTACGTTTAATACTTATAATACTATAATAATATAAACTAAATATTATAACATTTTATTTATAATATATTTTATTATAATTAATATATAATATATTAATAATATGTTTAATACTAATTATAATGGGTCAAACTAGTGTTGACCAAAAATACTTAATATGCTTTTTTGAAAACATTTTAAGGTAAAATCACAACACCATGGTGTTTTTTTACAAAAACACAAGAAGAAAAACACCGTGGTATCCAAACGAAACTGATTAACCAAGTACATCTACAATCAAATAAAAAAATGAACATCACCAAGATATTCAATCAATTATCCTCTCTCTTCTCAGTCCTCAATGAAAATGTCAAGGCCAATAAATACGATAAATAAATATTGCTCCAGGAGACTCAATTTTTTAGTATTTACTTGAGTGGTCTGCTTGGTTACTACAAGACTCAGATTCAATACAAAGGAATCCCCATATTTAACTTTGCCAAGAATGCTTTGAAAGGGAGGCACAACCTGGTCATCCAAATCGTACTAAATATGTCCAACAAGAGAGCAAGTAACTTATTTCAATGGTTTCTCACCCAAAAGTTATCCACTACTGTAACAGAATAATTAGTCAGGCCAATCGCACGAAACTGATTCCACGCAAACAGAAGAGCCCTGAAAGTCTTCAGGGCACTAAATGGGCGGAAATTATCACATCAACTTGAACGCAGCAACCTATTATCAAGCCATGTTAGAATAAAGGCCGATCTCTAAATCAAGCTATGTCAAATGAAAGGATGTTATCTTTAATGAATACATCATACACCAATCACTTCAAACCATAATCAACGATATGCTTACCTTAAAACTTCAACGAGAAACAATAAAAAAATTCCCCAAGCACCCAGAATATGAGATCAACAGGGGAGACAGGTAAGATGTGCCCCTCCTATTGCATGATGGTCAGCTCATTATGCAATAGGAAAGGACACCTCACATGTCTCCCCTGTAAACATAACAGCACAAACAGTATCAACTCTTATCCGATTTATATATAGCCCCGCCTTCTTTTAGTTCTAGCGTACTTGAGCACCTTGACTAGCCGCTATACTTTAATATTTTGTACAAGGCATCAACGATTAACGTGCTTAAGCAACCTAGTACAAAGCATAATATTGCATAAGGCGTGTAAATTACACTGGAGTTAGGATCAGGTTAAGGGTTTCTCAGATTAAGATCAGAATTTGAGGGCTAGAACCAGGATTGGCGGTTGGGGCCTGAGATAAGCTCTCTTCTAATGAAAGCATCATGTTAGGGATAAGATTAGGGTTAGGGCCTAGTAATAACATCAGATTATAAAGTTTAAATTTAAGAGAGAGTCTTAAAATAGCATCTCAAATAGCATCATAGCAAAAGGGCACATGCGTACAAGCAGCCCATGTGCACAAGAAAATATACGCCAACACCAACTAACAGATTGAAACAAATATGTTAAGGCATCGTCAATAGCAAATAAGGGGAAAACGGTGACAAACATAGTAACACGTTCTTAATACTAATACCATGTAGATGAAGATCTTCCTTCAAAAGCTCCAAGGTAGATGAGCAACCGTGAATGTAGATGTAAAATGTGAATAATTGAAAGGGTACCTTCTCTTACCGCTACCTGGTCTTCCCCATGGAAAGAAAGACAATTATCTGATGCATACTTGGCCCTGGTTACCAATTTCACAGCGACGAAAAGATTTAACAAGTTCGTATTGTGACCCGTAAAGCAATACTCAAAACTACAAAATTATACAAGATTTGAAGGGATAAAGAAAAGCATAACGAACATGTGGATTTTAACTCTAGAGGAGAGCAGAATTGATTACGCTTAAGTACATTCTAACAATATCTCTCTGACCCTTATCTCTACTCACACCCTTCAAAAGTTTAAACATCATGCCTCCAGCAAGTGCCAGAAGAAATATACAAATCACTCAACTAAAATAGAAAACATGAACAAGAATACGACAGAGACGAGACAGTTGCAACAGTACTAAAAGAATAAATGGGTTAGTAAAACAACAAGTGAATATAGTGCTCCACTGCTGCTTATGTCAATTTGAATGATAAACAATATGAAATTCATTATTCATCCTCCCTATCACCAAAGATGAAAATAACAGATTGTAGGAGAGACTACAGACTGTTAAAAACTAATAAGCAGAGATCTTATGATGCATTTACTAAGCCCCAATATTATGATGGAACTTAAGAGGGAAGCAACAAAGTCTAAATTAACATGATAACTGATGAGATGCACAGTTTTCACACCATCTCATATGCTAATGCTACAAAACAACAGATAAGATGTAAAAGATGAACTATGACAGATAGTAGATTACAAAGCTAACCAAATCATAAGCACATAAGTGTCGATCAAACCATCACCAAATTAAAAGTTTACACACTAGACAGGACATGCAAACCTTTTTTCCCAATCAACAAGATAAAGAGTTCTTTGAGGCTGCAAAGATGCCTTTCAAGCATCATCATCATGCCTCCAGACATTTCTGCCAATAAAGGACACCAACGAAGAAGACAAGCAGCCAACATGAGAAAACAGAAGGATAACATAGGCAGAAAAGAGCAGAGTTGAATCTGGACCTTAATAATCTTCTCTATATCTTGTCAAGCTTCTCGGCTTTGACAACAGGGTTGGCCTTAGCAATCGCATCCCTAGCAGCTGTCTGGTAATCAAATGGGCAGTTATGCTTGTCTGAGTATCGATGGCTCGCACAAAAGATGTTTCCACACCGGCAATTGAAGCCGGTCAGGCCTACTCTTTTGTTACAGGTGTTGCATCTAGTAGGACCTTTGTTTGCCTTTGGTTCATTGCTTTCACTTGACACAGAGGCATCAGATGGCTGTGAAATGATTTTTGGCTCCACTGCAGCAACTGCTACATCGGCGTTGCTGGAAATGACAGGTTCTTTGCCACTGGTGCATGGACGCTGCCGCCAGCTTAGCCTGTTCTTGTTTCAAGACAAGATCCTTGTGGCACTTGGAGCACATATTCATTGTAGCTGCACTCCCAAAGAAGCCACAGTTATTGATGCAGAGGATTGGGCCCTCTGGAGGAGCTTGGCACCCTGTCTCCTCGTGGTGCTCCATGCTTTCAGATTTCTGCATACAATAAGCAACATCTCAAGAAGCGAGGAACTAGGATATAAAGTTTTATAGAAAACAAATGAAGACTCACTAAATAAACCACAAATCCTCACAACCAATTGTGCGAAAGTATATACAAGTCCTTATCAAAGAAAACATGGGTCTTTATATCCACATTACAAAGAAAAAAGAGGGAAACTGGAGCTATAAAGATAAGCATGATTGTTTCATGTATTGGCCTGCCCGCTATACATAAAAAAACTTCTTAAAACTCAAGAAAGTAGAATAATATTGGCAAAAGTCCTAATCGAGCTTGATGACAAATATGACGAATGCTTTTAACAAATGTCCAGCCTGAGCTAACTTTAAATTTCCACAACATTTTTGGCTAAGGGGGTTTGGCTGTGAAGGAAGTTGTGGCGCGCTCACCCACGCCCCGGCCTCCCCCCCCCCCAATAAAAAAAACAAAAACAAAACAAAAAAAGAGGATTTCTACAACAATGAACAAGCAGTTCAAAGTGAAATATCTGTTTAGTATCTCTCTGAAAATAAATCTCCTAAACATACTGTCTCAACACAGTTTTTCAGTAAATGAACATAAAACCTAACCCCTCTACTATCTCCAAAGAGAGGCACATATTGAAGAACCCACAAGAACCCACAAACCCTAAGGATTGAAAATGAACAAGAATCCTGAGACTCGGCCAAAATGAGTAGGCCAGATTTCATGCAAAAGCTAAAAGATGTAGCATCTCAGAATTCCAGTACACCAACTAAGAACCTACAGCAACAGGCAACAATCTTAATCAGAGAAGAGGAGCGTCTCAGACCATCATCACAAATTACTTCATTAGTTGCATAAAACCAAAAAACTAAAATTTAAAAAAAAAAAAAAGGACTTAACTTTTGCGCATACCTAATCTTATCAAAAGTCTCCTAAATTTTCACCAAACTGAGCTAACATAAATTGCAGAAGGACACATCACAAACCGAGACAACAATTATTCCATTAAAGTAACAGGTAAGTTCTGCCAACCACTTACAGATACAAGAAAAGTGATGCCCACTAGCTAAAAAGGCAATATGCTTTTGTAATGGCCTGAAACTTTGCTATTTAAATACACCTACTTTGATATCCAAAACAACAAATCCAATTCACTGGGAAAGCAAAAGCCACATGTCCAAGCTCTAATCATCATCTAGAATTATCAAACTAATTCATCAAAAGGTAAACATTAATTACGCAAATAAAATAAAACAACAGTCAACAGATAGAAAAAATAAGGCTAAATACCCATATTGGTATTTTAATTCAACCCCATTTACCAACAAGGTATTTTAATTAGGAAATTCGGCGATAAGACATTTTAATTGAATAAAATTACCATTTAGGTCCTTTTTCTCGTCGGCGACCACTTTTCCGGCGAGAACTCATCACGTGCGTTGCACGTGGGGCTTAATCTGTGTTTAGGAAGCTAATGTGGCTCTGTTTTCTGACGTGGCAGGGGCTTAATCTGTGTTTAAGAACTCTCCCCCGCCTCTCTCTCTCTTTTTCTCCTTCCCGAACCCACGTCCACCGCCGCTCCTCCCCTCGACCACCGCTCCGGCCTCCGTCGCCCTCAGCCGAGGTCACCCCCGCGGAACTAAAGCCATAATCCGTCCGTAGCTCGTCCCTCCAACAAAGAATTCAAACCCCGAAAGTTTCACAATAGCAAGAACCCAATAAACCCAAGACTTCATCCATTTCTGTAGGTGATCTTCTGACGCTGACCTCCTGCAGCACTGCCCGACCGCCGAGACCCCCTGACCGCGCCGCACGACGCCTGTAGCCGTCGACCCGCTGCATGCAGTTTATTGGGTCTTGCTGTTGTGAAACTTTCGGGGTTTGAATTCTTTGTTGGAGGGACGAGCTACGGACGGATTATGGCTTTAGTTCCGCGGGGGTGACCTCGGCTGAGGGCGACGGAGGCCGGAGCGGTGGTCAAGGGGAGGAGCGGCAGTGGACGTGGGTTCGGGAAGGAGAAAACGAGAGAGAGAGAGAGAGGCGGGGAGATGATGAACAGTAGAGGGTTAAACACAGATTAAGCCCCACGTGCAACGCACGTGATGAGTTCTCGCCGGAAAAGTGACCGCCGACGAGAAAAAGGACCTAAATGGTAATTTTATTCAATTAAAATGTCTTATCGCCGAATTTCCTAATTAAAATACCTTGTTGGTAAATGGGGTTGAATTAAAATACCAATATGGGTATTTAGCCGAAAAAATAACAGACAGACCAAACTAAAATGAAAGGGTAGAAATTGACGTCCAAAGTCTCACCTTTTATCTTACCCCGCATAAAATAAAAGTCAAAATTGAAGTACGAAAGGGAAGAATTCATCAATCAAACGAAGAGATCAGAATCGAAACCAAACCAAAAACGAACCTTTAACGTACGTACCTATTCACGAATCTCCCCCAAATTTACGAGCGTCTGATAGACGATCCCTGCACGAATCACAAAGAAACAAGAGGGAAAAAAAACGAATCAATCGCAAACTCGAATCAAAATTCAACGAAAATTCCGAGGAAAATCAGGTCGAAACCCTAACCCTAGCGTTCTGAAATCGCCTTGGAATCGTGGAAGTTTAGGGCTCGTAATTTGGGTGGAGATAAAAAGGCGAAGAGAGAGAGAAAGAGAGAAGAGGAGAGAGAAAATATATAAAGTTTTGTTTTACGATTCTACCCCTGTTCAAAACCACGACAGGGAGGGATTTGAGTGAGTCAGCACACAGACAACTCAGGAACACAGTACTTATGCTTACCCGATGACGTGGATAAATAAGACACGTTGGATTTAGGTGGGGGTTAGGATTTGATGGGATTGGAGGTTGATTAAAGTCGGTTGCAGGCTTACGGGTAGATAGAAATCTGCCCGATGTTTTCTCTCTCCTGCCCGCTGGCGGGTTCCATTTTATGACCCCACGTTCACTTTTCTATTACTATACTGCACGTAAGATCTGGTCACTCTCGGGTCAAGTTACCGACTTGGGAAGTATTTAGTTTTGAGGGGTTTCTGCATATATACATCCCTCCGATCTTCAATATTTTACAAATTGCTCCCAAAATCTCGGAATTTGCAAAATTGCTCTAATTTACATGTTGGATACTTCTACCACTCCAGCTTAAGAATGTTGATTTTCAAACAAGGAAATGTCAAATTTTCTAAAAAAATTTAATAGATTTGCAATAATTTTCTATTTCAAAACTAATGTTGTTAAGTGAAAGGGGTAGGAAAAATCAATGTGTGGGAATTAAGGGGTAAGTTTATAAATACTAAGATTCTGAGGGTAATTTTACAAATATAGAAGATGTGAGCAGCATATATGCAAAAACCCTTTAGTTTTAGTTACCTTGTTTGATGGGATAGAAATAGAGTTGGAAGAGTAAATAGAGCAGTCGGATGTATAAATGCATTATTTGCATTGAAATTTGTAATTAGAAAATGTGAGTGGACTTGCATTTTATTAAAAAAGAAATATTGTAACAAATACTACAACCAATTTAATAGGAGGAAAAGGTGCATTATTCAAAAAATAAAAATCAAACATAAATATAAATTCCTTCTCATAAAAAATCCTTTTAAATTCAAATAGAAAACCACCTACACCAAAATTTAATTATATGGCAAAATTATGTAACTTTCGCACTAATTATTCTTTAACCAAACACTAGATTTGCATTGAAAATACATTACCTCGAATATAACTGCAAATATCCAAACAGCGGATTTGAAGTTGATTTCTTGCAGCAAATACTGTGTGCAACATTTTTTGCTACAAACGGAACAGCCCTGCGTTAATTATGAACAAATACCTAAAGACCAAATTACGAATAAAGCCCTTATGGTTCTATTTTTGCGAATAGAACTTCTAGGTGATTTTTATTATTATTAAAATCTTTGAAAATATTTGAGGAGGCGAATAGACCCCCTGTAATTCCATTGGTTAGGAATTTAGGATAGATCCTTAATTGCTAATTATTTACTTTCAAAAGAGTTAAAAAAGTTCACTAAGAGAGCTTACTAGCACTTAGGCTAATACTACAGGAGGTCTAATTGCTGCAAATAAAGCTACAAGAGTTCTATTTACAAATGGCTGATACTATAGGAATCTTTTCGCAATTAACCTTTAGCTTAAAGAGACATGGCGAGCACAACACTTCCAACCTGAGGTTTAATTTATCCCTTTCATTTCAGCCAAAAAAAAAAAAAAAAAAAAAATTCCTTTTGTATATTTCTCATAAAGTTGTTTTAATAGTTTTTACTGTCATATTTCTATCAGCTGTATTTTTTTTTCAAACATTTTTTCCTTAAACTTTTATTGGGAAAAAAAAAACATATTTGTACTTAGAACTGAAATTGTGGGTTGATACAGGGCTGAACACTAATTAGTGTCAACCTATTAAATGGTCGAACCGCCTATTATAATATTTTCATTGGGGCTAGGTTCTAAAATATTTTGATTTCTCTCTTTCTCTTCCTCTCAGCTACTTGATTGGACCGCAAAAATTCTCTAAGAATTGTCTGCATGACAGCGAGAGGTTCTAGCGGACGGTTCTAAGCCGTTCACAGGAAAAAGTAAATGACAAAAGAGCTTTGCTACATGGACCCAAAATATGGGACCAATTGGGAGGACAGGTGAGATGGCCCCCTCTTATTGGATAATGAGTTGGCCATCATTAATGATGGTCAACTCATTATCCAATAGGAAGGGGACACCTCATTTGTTCCCTCTATTGGTCCCATATTTTGGGTCATTGAATAATTTTTCATGACAAAAATACAGTGAAGGACTCAAATCCGAGGGGGCCGCTTAATTAGGAGATGTGTGAAAGGATTAAAGAAGCCAAAATGTTTTGTTAGGCCCACTCTTGAAAAAAAAAACTCGGAAGAGATAATAATCTACCGTTTTAATTTCCTTTTCTGCGGTTTAATCAAAGAATTAAATATTCGGTAGGCGTTTTAAAGGCACGATGATCCTTACGCAAAGTTAGGTTTCGAATTTCAAATCCCTACCTTGAATTAAGCAGGGTACCATATTAAGAATAAAAATTACGGGCACTTTTTAATTTCCTTATATTAACTATTGTTAATAAAAGCTTCTCAAGTATTGCATTGAGGTTCTTTTCCTCAAATCTTTTCTTGTGCTTTTAGCTACGATTTGTGAAGATGCTTACATGTGTTGGTTGTCCTGATACCAAATTGCTAGTGAAGGGTATCGCCAAACAAGTATGCTATTTTTTTTTTCTTAAAAATATATTTAATTTCTTTTTTAAGTATTCTTTTATTTTTATTTTTTTTCTCTCTTTGTTTGAAATTTTAGATCAAGGGTGTGTCATTGAAAGCTGTAAGAGGGAATAGAAAGAAATCAACAGAGATGAAGGAAGAACATGGAGCTGTGATCAGTGAAGGAAGAGAAGAGGAATGGATAGCAGAACCTGAACCCGGGGTTCTTATAACTCTATCGACTCTCGCTAATGGATGCAATCGTTTGAAAAAGATTCGCTTCAGGTATTATCTTTTCTTTGTGTAAACTAAAAAAAAATTAAATAATTAATTTATGTACTTAAAACGTTAGATACAATTATTCCCAAATTATGTCTTATCTGAGGTACCAATGCGTATGTATAAAATACCAATACGTACGATATCAAATTATGTATGTTTTCAGTGAGGAGTATTTTGATGCTTACGGAGCTCAAAGATGGTGGGGTGAGAATCACGATAAAATCATGGAGTTGTACACCATTCATCAAGAGAACCAACCACAAGTACCAACTCAATCTAATGAGGAGGTAATTAATCTAGAATTTTCTTTTAGTTTGTTCAATGTCTTGCAATGATGTTGCCTTAAAATTCAATACACAATACATGTTGCATTTGGTCTTAAATAATACGTGAAACATGAAAAAGAATTAGTAAATTGATTGCTATTGGTTGGTTTTTTTTTAATTTTATATAACAGCTTTATGCTCGGGATCATATATAAAAATGAAAAGAACTATTGAATATTCTAGAAGGGGAAACTATCATGCATATTGTATATTTAATATTATGATAAAGGTAAACAATATCATACACTTGAATAAATCATTGGATAGATTTGATTTCTCTCTACATAAAACTTTTGACCTCCCTGAGACATCTTGCACTGGAGAATTATGCACTTTGACACGTTATCTCTACATAGGTTCTTGTCTTGCAAGTGTATAGATAATGCAGAGATAAATTTCACACTTCGAGATTAGTTTCATCATGCAATATTTTTAGCCTTTTAGGTAGTTGATACTAGTTTTTGCTCACAATTTTAGCACAGCTGTTCGTCATGGCTCTTTTATAATTTATGAAATAATTTTTGATGGGCTAAAATATC